GACAACATCATCAATTAGGAGGAAAGAAGGATAATTAGTGATTTTATTGTTAAAAGAAAGAAAGAACATGAAATACTGATAGAAAATTCAATTTTCAAAAGATACAGTAGCAGAAAAGAAGGAAATAAAGAAAACATTTTAAAGCTCCACAATAGATAGGCGTCCTACAATGTATTCACAAAATGTTCAAGTTCATCGCAATCTAGATTTCTGTCACTTTAAATGTTCTTACCACTTGATATTTGGATTACAAACTAAAAACATGAAATATTCAGTTGAATAACGGTCTCCATCAACCCGATAGAACTTCCTTAGAAAGCACATTTGGAATTGGAGCTGTTTAAAAACAACACTCGTAATCCTTATCCTTATGAAACTCTTCTATAAGGATTGCTTCTCTTTTCATGACTGCGACAGGAACAAGGTCCTTCAGAAAGCTATCGTCTTTATGGATCAGCCTGGTTTTAATGATAAGCTTTAAAGCTTTCGGTGGTTTTTGTGCATCTACTTTGTAAAGTCTGGATGTTGTATTTTTCGTTACCTCGTTGAATATCCACAAATGAACATATATGTGGTTTTTGCTGGTTGGCATGTTGTTGCCTTGTCATTAAGTTTCCTATTTTGAGTCCTCCCCAGGGTGAGAGTGGGTGACATCTGCACCAAAAAATAATGGTAGGACTGTCGCTGACAAGGGAAATTCGCCTCGATATTGCATCAACAAGCACAGTGTTTCGGCGCTACATTGGCTAGATACATGTTTTGTCAAACAGCACTGTGAGACAACTCCTAGTTCAGTCTCGCAAATTCGCTTCAGATCACCTGGTCAAGAAATAAAAAAAGATTAGCCATTTTTGTGGCAAGATAAGAAGTTTTATTTTCATTTATACCATAAAGAGACAGCATATTGCAAACTTCTGCTAAAGAAGATAAGAAGTTTTATTTTCATTTATACCATAAAGAGAGCCATTATTGTCTGGCAAGATAACAACCAGGAGATAAAGCTCCCTCCCATGCATCTTCAACTTTGTCATAGCATCATGAAATCGAGTTTTCAAGACTCTTTCGACCTGATCAGGGCGTGTACTCGAAAGTGGCAGAACAGGATTTGGAATGAAGTTCTAAAAAGACAAGACAGTAAAGTCAATATTGGGTTGAAAGACCGAATAGACAAGAAAAGAAAACTGGAAACTGCTCATTTACCATGCTCATAACAAAATTCATGTGCAACACTGTCTTGCACGTTTCGAGAAAAGAACAATAGCCACACAAAAAGTCTCACAAAAAATGCCAGGATGCTGTGTAACAGTGCACCTCCAAGGTTTTCATTGAATCAAAATAATGAAAGGAAAAAGCAACGCAAACTTTCTACCGGTACACACCAGTAGGTGCCAAAATGAACATAAATGAAAAACAACAGATGAGACGAGATTTAAACAATGTCAACAGCACTAGATACCTTATTCTTCATATTCCATTGGCCAACTTGTGGCAGGCAGTCTTTTTCTCGGCCGTTATCATGATACATAGGCTGCAGAAATACATACTCATTACTGAAATCCTAACTAACATAAACATTTTCACTGCACAAATCAAATTTAAGCAAGAATGGTATACCCAGGGGTAGTAAGACTATCCCCCCTCAACCATGAGAAGAATCAATTTTTAAAAAGCAGTGAGGAGCCTCAACTTGTGCCAACTTGTCAATAATCTTAATGCCAAACTC